GGTAGTGAAGATGACATCGCAAGAAATTCTTTCAGAATGTCAGAAGATGCTCAAATTAACTCCTACTGCAAATGTGGTCGCAAATTCAGAAGCTATGGAGGAGCAAAACTTCTGCCACACTGCCACTTCAGAATCAGATGTGCCTATCAAACTTAAAGATGCGACGATAGAAATCAATGGCAGTCAGATTACACAGGTGCATAGACGCCACGAAGCAATGCTCCAACCTGGTCCAGAATGCTGCAGAATCACCAGTGCTGCCCTGAACCTCACGCCAGCCACTAAACCAGTATCCAGAGCAAAACGCGTTGTGCTAATCAGGAAGGAAAAGCTTTGCAGTTGTCATACGGGGAATAGTCGGACAGACAGGGTGCGTCATTTCAGAATTGGCGACACGGGGTACGCGCGAGAGTTCCGAGAACCGAAGAGGTGGTCAAGAGAAAGGGTTATACGCAGAAATGGTGGAGTCAACTACGAACCAACGGTTAGAAACAAGAAATGGATCAGACACGCAGATCAGCGGAGACCGAACCACGGAAAAACACAAGGGCTTGCAGACAACAAATATCCAAGAGCGGCCAGAAGGAGAAGAAAACCACCAGGACAACTGATTGAAGTCAAAACAAAGTAAGCTGAACTGACGCAAGTACGCATGGTGGGGAAGCAGTTTCAATTCGGAGGAGGAGGTGTCACGGAGGCGAAACAGCTGACTACGATGGTGCACGCGAGCGGGCGAGATCGGCCAGATCACGTGAGCGGATGACAGATTGGTTGTCATGGTCAAACCGGAAGCTGACGAAATCAGACCGTCATCGCCGCACGGGTTGCTATGTCGCGAATGTGGTCCTACCTACAGTCAGACAGTGATGGCGGCTGCCAGACTCGAATCTGTTCAGACATGAGATGTGAGTCACCTTCGTGATAGCAGCGAGGTAAGCGCATGTGACCTATAAAAATAGCCATGTTCTGTACCTAAGATACTTCGGTCCAGCGGGCTCTGCGTTTTGTTTTCCCCGGCTGGTTGGTAGCACAGGGAGGCAGAGAGGAAAAGGGCAGCGTTATAACAATCGGCCGTCGCGCAGATTATCAAGGGTCGCCTTATCTGCTGCATACAGCAGGGCGGATAAGCGAAAACATGCTACTGCTGGCGCCTCCCTTCTTTCTTTTCCACCTTTTTCTCTTACTCCCATCCCGGCCCCCATTACTAACCTTCCTTCTATAATTCCCAGCCTAATTGACAGCAACAGAAGTGCCACTGGAGGAGAACCATCTGCAGCCACCATCCCACAGCACCTGTCGGCAAAAGTCCCTTATAAGGCCACGCTATCCCGTTTCCATGGCGACATTCAACGTTCGCACTCTAAGACAAACAGGTCAACAGGCTGCACTCACACGCACCTTGGACACACTGGGTGTTTATGTGTGTTGTGTGTTCGAAACTACGATCAATGACCCTAACAGGGTTATTGAATTAACTGCACCCGGCTTATCCTGTCATTATTGGTTGCACGCATCCGGAGACGCCATTGTAGCACTCACGGGTCAAGTCGTGTAGGAATCATTCCAAGCTCCAAGGCTGAGTCATTGTTGGTTGATTGGATTCCGGTGAACAGCCGTTTATGTGCAGCCCGTTTGATAACGTCAGCTAAGGTTGATTCACGAAGTAGTACAAAACACTGTTCGTTCGTGATTTTCGCTTATGCTCTCACCGATTGCAGTTCTAATGCTGTCAAGGACACATTCTATGACGAACTGAACGCGCTACTACCCAGTGCTACTAGTTCAGATATTATAATACTTCCAGGGGATATGAACGCACAAGTAGGGCGTCTGAGCACTTCAGCAGCTCAGCTGGGTGGTAATTGTGGGCTTAACTCCGAACGGACTGACAACGGTGAGCGTCTGCTGCAACTGTGTGCGGAGCACCAGTTGTTTCTTACTAGCACTGCTTTTAGACACAGTTGGCGCCGAAGTGCCACTTGGCGTCCTCCTGTAGCTGGCCAGCGATAGACCCAAATTGACCACATAGCCATAGGTTACAGGTGGCGCGGTTCCATCCTGGATTGCCGCTCATACTGGAGTACCTGTGTCGACTCTGATAATGCCTTGGTACGCTGTCGTTTCTCCATGAGCTTTACCGGGAGGCGCACCAAGCGTCCCCTACTATTGGCAACGGAGAAATTGTCTCAGTCCTCGGTCAGGCAAGCCTATCAAGAGGCATTGTATACCGAACTTCCGTTGCCTTGTCCTAATGACACTGAGCTTTAGTGGAGTAGGATTTCGGCCGCCATGCACGACGCAGGAGCATCTGCTTGTGGCACCATTAATTGTCACCGCACCAGTCACTGGATATCCGAGAGGTCGGTGAACCTGTTGGAATCTAGAAGACACCTCCCGGCTGGCTCTGAACACAATGTGATCAGACGGGCTATTAGGCATGAACTAAAGCAGAGCCTACGTGCTGACAAGGAAGCCTGGTGGACGAGTAGGGATCAAGAAATGGCGGATGCAGGAGCAGTAGACAATTACCACAACCTCTTCCAGCTAATCCGCACCACTGATCCCAGAAAACCAGGCGTCAGTGAGACAATCAGAGACAGCGCGGGTGCGCTGATACACAATAAGGACTTCCGAATGCCTCGTTAGGCGGAACACTTTCAAGATCAGTTCAGCTGGCCCCTGCTCTTGGACCTCTTCCTACTCAGGTGATGCAGGACGAGCCTCCGTCGGAGGCTGAGGTCCGAAACGCGATCACAGCCCTCAATCGTTTTCGTGCCGCTGGCCCGGATTCCCTCCCACCTGCACTATTTAAGGATGGAGGTGACGTCCTCTGCAAAGCACTGATCTCCTTATTCGAATGTATCTGGAAGGAAGAGTGTCCCGGCTAATTGGAGCGAATCGATTATAGTGGCAATATACAAAAAGGGCAGTCGCACAGACTGTTCTAACCACAGGGGTATTAGCATAACGCCAGTTGTGACAAAATTACTGGCTTCGATTATCGTTCGTCGCCTCATTGCGGAACGGGAATCTCGGATTAGGGAAGAGCAGGCCGGTTTCCGCCCAGGACTTGGCTGTATAGACCATATATTCACTTTGCTGCAGATGCTAGAGCAGCGCCACGCATACTGCAGACCGACAATAGCTGTGTTCCTCGATTTAAAGAGTGCGTTCGATTCAGTCGATCGATCGATTCTGTTCGAAATACTTGCGTTGAAAGGTGTTCCCACGAAATATGTGAACATCTTTCGTGCTCAATACTCGAACACTACAGGCCGCGTCAGTCTACGGTGTCCTATCGGATAGCTTTCCGGCCACAAGTGGCGTTCCTCAGGGTTGTCCCATTTCCCCATTTTTGTTCAATTTCTTCGTGGATTCTATCATGGAGTGTTCCCTTGCGGAATCTCACGATGTAAGCGTTGAAGTGCTACCTGGTGAAAGGTTAGTTGATCTAGGTTGTGCGGACGATATCGTCTTGCTTTTCGACGACTTTGCGGCGGCACCATCAACCCTCAATAGCCTGTCCAGAGTGGTCCCATTTTTTGGTATGCACTTCGCACCTTCAAAGTGAAAAGTGTTGCTGCAGGACCACCAGGCACTTGATGATCCCTTGACGCTTGCTAACGAGGAACTCGAGATGGTTGATCAATTCACTTATCTTGGCAGCTGCATCAGCAATGATGGGCGCATAGAAACTGACGTGAGCTCACGCATTGCAAAAGCCAGAGCTACCTTCTTGAACCTGCGGCATCTTTGGCGACATATGGGAATTTCCCTCCGTCTGAAAGGCCGTGTATACAAGGCCACAGTGAGGGCCGTTCTGCTGTATGGTAGCGAGACTTGGCCCCTTCGGTTTGTAGATCTGAGGCGCCTTCAAATCTTTGATCATCGTTGTCTGCGAAGCATGGCTAGTGTCAAATGGCACCAGCGTGTCCGCAACGATGATGTGCGTAGGCTAGTACTAGGTGGTGATAATCATGCTAGCTCCCTAGAACAACAGATAGCACTGAATAAGTTGCGTTGGCTCGGGTACGTGCTACGTATGCCTGGTCACTGCTTACCTAGGAGGGCCTTGTTTAGTCTGCCAGGTGTAGGGTGGCGCAAGACTCGAGGTGGACAGAAGTTGACTTGGAAGCGTGAAATGAAGTCACTGACGACCAAACTTGGTGCCGTTGATCCGTCTCGCCTTCCGGGCTGGAGTCCACGTGACTTGCCTTTTGCTTGGCCCGAGACTTTACAGGACATGGCTCGCAACCGACACTAGTGGCGCGTCTGCTGCTGTCTCATAATTGGATTGTCTGTTTAAAGTGTGTTTGGTGCTGAGTTATCTGCGGGGTAATGGCTGATTAGGACGCGTGTCAGTGAAAGCGGCATGGAAGCTATCTCGCCGATGCCGCCTTATCTTTGCACGATAGCCAGCTGTTTGTGACGGAATGTTGTCTTCACAAGGTGTAGGCGCCTTGACCCTGAATGTTCGCTTAAGGCATTAAGGTTTTCAGGTAAGTCCCCCTTCTCTCCCTCTTCTTATTCTTTATTTCATAGGTCCTCATGGTTGCATGGCAGCGAAGCATCAGTTCGAATGGCTCATGTACTGCTGTTGATGATGATGATGCTGATGATGATGATGACAGCCCTCCGCACGAGCTCGATTTGAACAGGTCAATGGTCTCAAGCTTGGAAATCACAAGCCGTCGGCGTTACTCTGCAAACATCAGCGCATCGCTGCTCCCTTATTCTTGAGCGAAGAAGGGATAAAGAAGCTGTGGTTTGCACGTCTCCCAGGGTCATTGCCGGTAATGCTGTCAATGTTTTTCGATGCGCCCCTGAAAGAATTAGCTACCAAGGCAGACGCTGCGTTCGAACATCTTCCGCAGCAGACCACCAGTAGCTCCCGTGACGTATTCTCGCCGATGAAAACTGAATCCCATATTTGCTCCCAGTCGTCAGGCCGATCTGACCCTAAAGACGAGGAAATTGCGCTACTTTGCAGCTGGATAGCAGCAATGAAGGCTTCGAAGCGGCTTGTGCCACGGTAAAATGCTGACCACGTTTTGGCTACCGTTCATTGCGGCTCATCTGTGCCTGCACCGAGTATGTCTCGTTCGGCACGAAAGTGCAACATTTTCCCTGCACGTTTTCAGTCTGATAATACCAAACCCGTCGAAGAAGTATGTTGGTATCATCGCCAATACGGTGGAAGAGTTAGACGTTGTCGGGCTCCATGCATTAGGCACGTCTCAGCTGATTCAGGGAAAGCGAATAGCCCGCATACTAGCACGACAAACGTATCAGTCAATAACCAAGCAATTTGCCTGTTTTACACTAGGGATCGACGTTCTTCTATCACATTCCTCATCGATACGGGAGCGGAAGTCAGCGTCATCCCAGCGACTGCTAACGACAAGCACTCAGAGCCTACGTGCAATTTGCGTGCGGCCAACGGTTCTCCAATAGCTTCATTCGGTCAGCGCATGATGAACCTGGACCTCAATCTTCGCCGAGATTTTCAGTGGGTCTTCATCGTTGCGTCTGGTACAGACGCGAAAGGTACCTTCGCAATTATCGGTATCGACTTCATCCGACATTTTGTATTGCTTGTTGATGCTGGTCGCCACAGACTTTTAGACGACCGTACTAAACTAGGGGTTGAAGGCGTTCTTACGGACGCCCCGATAATCAGTCCCGTTTTTCGAATCGCTGATGTACCATCAGATTATGCGAACCTACTGTCTGAATACCCGCGACTGGTACGACCAGCTGCAGAGCTTCCGCCAGTCACGACAGAGGTCGCTCATCACATAGTCACGCGTGGTCAACCAGTTAGCGCACGACCAAGACGGCTTGCTCCTGACAAACTACGTGCATTACGAGCCGAGTTCGATCACATGCTTTAGCTCGGTATCGTCAGACCGTCCAACATCCCCTGGGCGCCGCCTCTACACTTGTTCCCGAAGAAGATCATGGGGGACTGGTGTCCTTGCGGCGACTATCGAACCTTGAATACGGTTACCACGCCCGATCGCTATCCGATCCCACACATAGTGGATCTCACCGCCAGTCTGGCAGGTAAAATTATCTTCAGCAAAATCGACTTAGTACGCGCATACAACCAAATTCCGGTAGCCGAAGCGGACATCGCTAAAACTGCCGTGACGACACCATTTGGTTTGTTCTAGTTTCTGCGCATGCCATTTGGTCTAAAGAATGTCGCGCAAACTTTTCAGCGCTTCATCGACCAAGTTTGTCGCGGCTTAGACTTCGCTTACGCTTATCTCGACGACATTTTAATCGCGAGCTCTTCACGAGAAGAGCACATGCGCCACGTACAAACACTTTTTGATCGTTCGTTTATCTCAATACGAGGTGACGATCAACGCAGAAAAGTGTTCGTTTGGTGTCGATTCAGTAAATTTCCTCGGCCATCGTATCTCCTCTGCAGGCGTCGTGCCACTGCAGGATAAAATTCAAGCCATCATCGACTACCCCGAGTCTCATTCTTTCAAACAGCTCAGACGTTTTTATGGGCTTGTCAACTTTTACCGACGGTTCATACCCAACTGCGCCTCGCTGATGCAACCACTTACGGACCTTCTCCGAGGGAAACTCAAGAAATTCGAATTTCCTGCGGCAACACACGCTGCTTTTAAGTCGCTGAAAGAGGCTATCACCAACATAGCTTCTATAGCGCATCACGATCCGACCGCCCCACTGTCCCTCAGTACTGACACCTCGGACGTGGCAGTCGGCGCTGTGTTGCAGCAACGAGTAGCCGACACATGGCATCCCTTAGTGTTTTTCTCCAAACGCCTACAACCTACCGAATCCCGCTACAGCACGTTCGGTAGAGAACTACTAGTCGTATATCTAGCGATACGTCACTTCCGACATGACTTAGAAGGCCGCTCCTTTACCGTCTTCATCGACCACAAACCCCTGACTTACGTGCTCGGCTCGACTACCGACCGATACTCTCCTAGCGAGTCGCGCCACCTTGACTATATCGCCCAGTTTACGACCGATATACGGCATGTCTCAGGTGTGCACAACGCCGTCGCCGATGCACTTCCCCGCATCCAAGCTATCTCCGCTGCCGCCGGCACTGCTCTCGACTTGGCAGCCATGGCCACAGCGCAGCTCAACGACACTGAGGTTGATCTACTACGCAGGTCTCCCTCATTGGACATACGACCTGTTCCGCTAACATCATCAGACGGCACTATACTTTGCGATTTATCTCTGGGCACGCCGCGTCCAGCTGTCCCACGCGAGTTTCGACAGACCGTGTTCGACACGTTGCACTGCTTGTCTCATCCAGGCGTTCGTGCATCGGTTAAACTCGTAACCGCACGATTCGCTTGGCGTAATGTTAATCGGGACGTCCGTACTTGGGAAGCTGCTTGCCCTCCGTGTCAACGCGCAAAAGTGCATAAGCACACGAGAAGCCCAGTGGGAACATTTCCTACACCAGATGCACGTCGACTTCGTAGGTCCTCTGCCGCCTTCCAAAGGCTCTGTATGTCTACTGACCTGTATCGATTGATTTACTAGATGGCCTGAGGCCGTCCCTATCCCACATTGCTCCTCGGAAACGGTAGCGAAACCTTTTCTGGAGCGCTGGGTTGCTCAACACGGCTGTCCCGCCATCGTGACCACCGATCGAGAGTCACATTTCTCGTCGACATTTACCACGTTGCTTAAGGATTTAGACTGTCGCCACGTCCAGACGACGGCGTATCATCCGGCAGCTAACGGCATGGTGGAGCGTTTTCACCGCCAGCTGAAGTCAGCGCTACGTGCGCATGCAGATCTTTCATGGTCTGAAACACTTCCCCTTGTCCTCCTAGGATTAAGAAACACTGTTAAACCCAATTTCGAAACAACATCAGAGCAGCTAGTCTGCAGTTGCACTCTGCGATTGCCCGGACAGCTGGTAGCACCAGTCTCCTCTACTTCCTCTTTTGACTACGGAAGTTACACCGATCGATTGGCTCACTAGATGCGTGAGCTGCGTCCACCAGCTCTTCGATCGCAGAAGACACCAGTGTACGTGCCCGAGAAGCTGTCTACGTGTTCACACGTCCTTCTTCGCGCAGACGGTGTTCGACAGCCTTTTCAGTCGCCGTACATAGGACTTTCAAAGTGCTACACCGTGCGAGTAAGACGTACACAATTGACCGCGGTGGTCGACGCGAAGTCGTCACCATCGACCGTTTAAAACCTGCCTTTATGGAAGAAACCACCTCGCCTACTTCGTCTAGTAGTGCTTCGTACGACGTCACAACTTACCGCACCAGCTTACAGAATCCTAGTGCAGTTCAACCAGACCACGATCCCGGTCTACAAGCTTCAGCCGTCCCGAGATCTCCCGAATCTAGCCCGCCACCGCCCACGACCAATCGCCGTAGTCAGAAGGTGCGTAAGCCGGTTCGTTTCTCCGACTATGTACAGTGTAAATACTTTTAGCTTTGTAGATATTGTATATATTTGTCCGGTTTTTGGTGGATTAACGTTTTGAAAACAAACAAAAATATCAAAAACCTCCGAAAAACCTTTAAAAATATTCAAAAACCAAAAAGTTTAAACACGCAGGTCATTCGTTTGTTCTTTTTGGTGTTTTCTGCGCATGTTTTTTCCATTTTCTCGTCTCTACATGCCCCAACCCTCTACTTCGATCGACTGGCCCACACGAGGAGTGTTCAAGGACCCTGACGCGAACGCTGGTCGTTTCTCCGCGGGACGAGTGCCGCTTCTCTGCGGGACGAGTGTTGCTTCTTCGCGGGACGAGGGTCGCTGCTTCGCGGGACGAGGGTCGCTTCTCCGTGGGAAGACGGTCGTTTCTTCGTGGGACGAGGGTCGCTTTGGTGCGGGGCGGGGTGCGGCGGGGAGAGCGACCACTCCCAAGCGCACCGTTTGGCATCAGCGGAGGTTGAAGTCCTGTCTGCATTTTTCTGGACTAGCCAGTTTTTTGTAGCCCGACAAGTCCCCTCCAACGGCTCGCCAAAATGCACCCTGCCCTGCAACCAACAAATCACAAATCACAAACGGTACAGCGGACTCCGACTTCCGGCGAACCCCCATTTGACACGAACACTCGCTCATTTTTGCTCGGCATGACTTTGCCTTACGAACTTCGATCCAACAGTCCTTTTCGAAATGGAAGGCTTTCTATGTTCAGCCTTCTTGTGGGAGCTTTGTAGTGCCCAAAAAGATAACTGCTATCTTTCATGTACAGTTTAATTGTTGACCGATTGTACATTATTCCTTCTTGTTTTAATCTTCCTTACAACCGGCTCGACACTCGACCGCCTTGTAAGTTCCCGCGCTCACATGTTCGCTCTTGTCTCGCTTCATCCGTCCGCGTCTTCTTGTAGCCCATCGAATACAGTCCGCTGTGTCCGACTCCAATTGCCTTCTGATATCCGCGCTTAATTTCGCGCACCGTATCGGACTAGTATTAACTAGTCCTACAGCCTGCAACGAAGGTGTCCAACTTAGCAAACATCCCACTCATTATCATTTAATACGTCCGCGAGTACTTCGATGTACAGAAGTTCGGTGAGTGACGGGAGAAACAGGACTGTGTGCGATCGACGCAATGGATTGCAGCGATCCATCAAAATCCCGTGTAAGCGCATCCATATCGACAGTAGTATGTGGCTTCCCTTCTAGCCATACGCATGTACGAACTGAAATCCAGTGTTTCAATTGCTTTGGCAAGTTTCATCCTAAATGCTCCAAGATTACAGTAAACCAGTTTAAGCTACACAATAGGAAGCCAGATCTACTGTAGTTCTGTTCAGTATGTATGGTCATCCCACTGGTAAAGATTGGACATGAACCACCGAAGAAATACGAAAGACTGGTGCCAATGATTGAACAGATGGGGAACACCAAAAGCGATCCATTTGAAGAAAGGGTGACAGTGAGTAAATCCAAATCATTCCCATTAGGCTCCGTATTCAAACTGAGGAAGCAGGCTGGGCGGACTTTAAACGTCACTACCACCAGTTGGTCAGATACGCCTGAAACAACCACCGCCAGTCCGATTGGAACGTGCACGGTCAGGGCCACGTCTACCCTCCAAAGGGTTTCGAAATTTCAGGTTTTAGAAACCAGTGTTAGTTGGAACTTGGTTGCTGCGAAATGTGACCAAAAACCTAGACCTTCAACCACTCCTACGTTCAAAGTAAATGAAGAAGAAGAAGCTGTACTCAAAAAGCCTCCATCGATCGTATGCAGGCTAGCTGGTCGGTTGACCTCAACCCGAGTTACACGTAGTATACCAGCGTAATCTGCATCATCGTTCCAGAATTAGCGTCGAATTCCTTAAAATGAAAACAACACGATGACGTTGTCGTGTAGCTCTCCGGGAAGCAAGAAGACTGGGCCGCGATCACGAAGTCATTTATTAAGATTACGCTCGAATATTTATAGAGTATATACACTTTTTACAACAGTCTGTCTCAATGGCTCATCCCTGTTATTTGCATTGTGTCGCTGGCTCCCTTTCCATTGGTTTATGCTTCC